GGAGGTAGGGAGGAAGCACTTAGGAACTAGAGGAAAGTTGTATGTTTCATTGTTGCCACACTGCACCCTGACTGGCTCATCGACAGGATATTTCTATAGGTATAGTTATATGTGCTGCAAATATATCCATGAAGATGGTGCAGCCTATAGTGGGTGGGGCGTAGGGAGGCAAGCTATGAAACCTTCTTAGTCACAATCAAACACCTTAAGACAGTGGTTCTCAACCTTCCTAATGCTGCGACCCTTTAATACAGTTCCTCATGTTGTGGTGACCACCCCAACCATAAAATTATTTTTGTTGCTACTTCATCACTGTAATGTTGCTACAGTTATGAATTGGGAGACCCCTGTGAATGGGTTGTTTGACCCCCAGAGGGGTCGCGACCCACAGGTTGAGAAACACTGCCTTAAGGGAATGAGTCCCTGGGCCTGAGGACTCAGAGGACACCAAGGTCAAGTCTCATGACGTTGTCCACAAAGGTAATGCTCTACATCTAACTTTGGTGAGTAGCAATTAAGGTTTTCGAAGTGCGTGGGCAGCAATCTAAGAATCTAAGGTGCAACTCTTCAAGCGTCACCGTCCATAGCCAGGAGGAGTGACCAAAGTCAAAGACACATGGGAAACTTAGACTAATGGACCACATGAATCCTTGTCTTCGTGACTCTGGGACCAGACTAGATGGTGCCACGCTGCCACTGCTGGCCACTCTGACAGGGATCCCAATAGGAGGGCCTAGATAGAATGGGGGAAAACAAACATGGAATAAACCTCAACATCCCAACCGATCAAGCTTACTGGTCCAATGGTGACTGGTGGAACCCTGACACCCTTCAGGCCTGGGACTGTACTGGCCACCGCACCCCGGCCCCCTTGCTCAATTTTCAGCCAAACAGCAGACTAACAAATAGCTCCTCGAAGGTGAGCAAGAACCCCAGGGAGGTACGGTGCTCATTAGAGCACCAACCATGGGAGATAAGCAATGCAGCATTTCCCTAGGGATGGAGCTCAGGCAGAGTGGGAGAGAGAAAAGCAGGAATGGAGTTGGTAAATACAGGGAGCACATGGGCAGAGTGCTATGAAGCCCTGGGGACTGCCGTTAACTTCCGAAATCAAGATGTGTGTGAATCGTCCAGTGGAAAACCCATTTGTTCTGTCAACTTTTACCCAGTTCACAACACAGAGTTCGAATATAGAAATGAAGTCTGCATGCTGTTTTCAAAAGGAAGAAAAGGGCCGGGCCTGTAGGAGGCTCGGGCAGGAATCCAGGCTGGGGGATGAACCTGAGCCAGGGCTGAGCAGAGGGAGGGAGAAGGCGAGGCAAGGTGGAAGGACACTGATGAGGTAAAATCAACACTACGTGGGGTCCTTTGGTATTTTCCCAACCCAGAAATCCAGGGTGGGCACACATGTGAATTTGTCCCCGCAGCCTGCACAGAGAATCCGCTGGGAAGGAGAGGGAAACAGGACGTTCTGATCCAATGACTCACCAGGCCCTAGCCTTTTAGGCCTGTTCCCTGCTCCTCAGCCTGGCTGGCCCCTGTCTCCCTCTCCACCACCCACCCCAGCTCATGGGTGCAGGCTGAAGCCTTCAAAACAAGCCTTCCTGCCTTGCTGTGGGATTCCACCTGCCATTCAGGGGGCATCTGGGCACCCCGTCTCTGGGCTTCGGAGGGAAGGAAACAGACGCAGAGGGGGCAAGTGCTCTCTGGAAGCTCACCCAGGGAGCTTCACAGGGTGCTCCCCCCCACTGCAGTATCCGTTGACCCCTAAACAAGGTCAGCATGGGCTTGCCTGCACTTACTTTCTCATCTGTCCTGCTCAATTTCACATGCTGCCACCACATTGACCAGTTTGCCTCTAGGGATGATGGGCATCCTCCCTCTCCTGGCCCCACAAGCAAAGCCTCAAACCAAATGGTCAGCCCCAGGCAGGACCAGAGCAAGATAAGCATGGGTTTACTTGTGCTTACTCACTAATCTGTAGAGAACCCTGGAAATCACTACAGCTTAGTAAGTAAGCACAGAGAGGCCAGTGCTGTCCTCGCTGTACTGGCGTATCCGCCCCTGCCTTAAAGGACTCCCTCTCCTTGTCATCCCCACTGTCATTCGCTGGCACCAGCAGCCCCTGAAAAATGAAGGCATGGGAGAGAAACCTTGACCCAGTTAACAAGGAAACACTGAATTCAAGATAGCCTAAGGGGTGGGGCAGGTCCCAGAGCCCAGCTGGTCCTGGACATGGGCTAGAAAGAGCACGAGGGTAGAACCCGGGGCAGCCTGTACCCTCCTCTCTATATGCTCCTGGGGTTCAGGGTTGCGAGGGAACCCTGCAGCCTCCCAAGCTCTGTGTCTGCTCCATGGGTCCTGTTCTCGTCAGAAGGAGGCCCCAGGGCAGTGCAGACACAGGCTTGCCGGCCTCCCAAGTTTCAGCCCACTCCTGTTACAATCAAGAGTCTCTTCACAAAGGCTTCTTTGTGAGTTTTATTTGCCCCCTCCCCGCTCCCCCTACCGGCCAGAGGCCTATCTCAGGAGACAGTCCAAAGACAAGCAGTTTGCAGAGAGGTGTCCACCCACGTCTGTCTGCCCACACGGGCTCCCCGGACCGGTTCTACCTTGGTAACCTGATGACTTCTGGCGTCCATCCCCACAGGACCATCTCTGCCCTCACCACCACCAGGTCCGAAGCATCCTCTGGGCTCCCTCGTCCTCCGCTTCCATAGGACGTTTGCCCCTGAAGGCTGAGCAGGAGTCAGCTCCCGAGGGCACCTTCCCCACAGGGAGTGGTTCTTCTGCACTGAGAGTCCGGGTCTGCTTGTTCTGGTGACTGCAGGGCAGGCAGCCTCGCCCGAGTAGGCATCAGCGGCGACCCCGGTGAGGATGGTGGTGATGGTGGAGGTGGTGTGGAGAGTGGTGCAGGTGATGGTGGTGGAGGCCGGCATGGGGCATGTGAGACGCATGGCCAGGATGATGGAGATGGTGCAGGCGTCCCATGGGGCCCCGGCCCCGACCCCGACCCCGGAAGAGCCAGGGCCCGGCCCACAGGACTCGGTTTCCCCCTGCGGCTGGACGGTTCCTCTCCACATCACGCTCCTGCTGACCATGGTCCAGGCAGGTGACCAGCAGCAGCAGCAGCAGCAGCAGGGCCACAGCAGCAGCTACAATCAAACCCACGAGGGTCTTGCTCCCCAAGAGGCCCAGCAGCGCCTGGATGCTGGACATTCCGCCTCCACTCTGTGCCTCTTTTTGCTGCTGCTTCCCCACCGGCAGCCTCCTGCTCAGTTCCGTCCAGCCACTGACCGCTGGCTGCCTCAGCTCCCGCAGGCTGGAGTGCAGCCGGGGAATGTAGGCGCAGCCTGTTTGGGCTGGAGCTGCTGGCCAAAGGGCGAGGCCAGGCAGTGTTAACTCTGGGGAGGCCGGCAGGGAGGCGGGGCAGAGTCCATATTGAGGGCAGCACTGCCAGGCTGGGCTTGTTAGGAGAAGAACTCTGGACCTGGAAGTTTGAGGTCTGAGCCCCTCCAGGCCCTGCTGCCTGCCTACGGGACCAGCCAGTCCAGACAATGGCTTCCTTCCTCTGTCGAGAGAGGGCAGCCAGCACTGCAAAACACAGACCTGATATCACAGAACCACAGCGCTGTGCACCAGTTATTTAATCTCTCTGTGCCTAATTTCCTCAGCTGTGAAGTGGCTAATTGTATACCTCACAAAGTTTGGTGAGGATTAAGCCAGTAGATAGACATAGAGCACTATAACCAGCTCCCGGCAGATGTCTGCCATTGCTAACGTGCAATGTTGTTTGGCTTCCACACTGAGGGCACCTGTCTTCTGAGCGCCTGTGGTTCCGCATTATCTCCAGCCCACAAAAGCCCCCAGGACTGAGTCAGGTTCTGACCAATGAAACGTCCTGCCCTTCAGGAAGATGGTCTCCATCCAGGAAGGCTACATAGCTGTCTCTCAGACCTGGGACCTGCAAGTTCAGGGAGGCATGTGGGAGCCCCAAGATGTGGAGGGAGACAGCCAGAGGCCATGAGTGGAACCCAGTTAGCTCAGAAGCCAGGCCCCAGTCCCAGCCTCCTGGCACCCAGTTCAACAGTCTCAATGGTCTCAAACAGCCAGAGGTCTATCTAAGCTGTGGCAGGTATGACCCACACCCTGGGTGCACCACTGAGCAATTTCTCTCAACCTAATGAGGGCCAAAGCCCTTACCCAGGCACTGAGGCATAGTGATGGGGGACGGGTACGGGTACAAGTTGCCAGGGGACAACAGACTGCAGAACGACATTCCAAAGCATCACCAAGAACAGGAGAGGTGCCTGGCTGAGGCACCAGACAAGAGGGGGAAGGCGTTTTTGCTGACCTTGTTGTTATCAACGTTTATTTCTCTTAAAATTAGGGGAAGGCGGGGACGTGGGGTGAGCATGCATCTGAGAGATTGTCTGGTGGTGTTCGAATTGGATGAGGGAGTGAGACTGCCCTGGGGTGTGGGCAAGCCCCTGCAGGGTTGCCAGCTCAGTGTTGTCATGGGCACCTCTGTAAACAGCAGCTCCTTGCCCCCCTGTCTCTGCACAGCAGCGGTGATCTGTCATCCCCGCCTGGTGGAGAGATTCCAGACAGCCACCGGGCACAGCCCGTGAGCGGTCATGACTCTCCGTCCTCTCCCTGGTCCCGAGAAAGCCTCCTTGAAGCATCGCAGGCAAGCCCCTGTCCATCCCGGCTCACGTACGCATGAGGGACGCCCACTGTCCCCCACAGGCAGCCCTTTCTGCTTCGAATGGTTGGGCAGCTCCCAGATGACCTCCTTCTCAAAGCCAGCAGCTCAGTGTCAGGATCCCTACAACCTTGGATTCCTGGTCACTCCTGGCTGAGTTGTAGCTCCTCCCTCCGAGCTCCTCTGTAGGGGTGTGGTCACCTCTGGGCCTCCTGCAGGGATGTGTGTGGGATCAGTACCAAGTCTCCTGCTGGTCCCTGGACCACACCAGTTTGCCCCTCTGTCAAGTCCCAGTAGAAGAGGAGATCCCCCCTACCCCCACAGGAGCCCTTCTTTGATGGTGTAAGGCACTCACGTGGAGCTTTATCAACATTGCCTTCAGCAACCACTGAAAATGTGACCCTCTAGGACAGTGGTTCTCAACCTTCCTAAAGCCACAACCCTTTAACACAGTTCCTCATGTTGT